ATATATTATATATTTTACTAGTTTTGAAATTGAATGACTTTACACTTTGTCAATTTAGCTAAGCCAGAAATAGAATGTCTCCCAGGAGTCCCTTCTCTGTATGGTTCTGAGTTAGGCTCTGGCCACAGAAGAAATCCACATAAGATCTGAAATGTGGAAATGAGGAGCAGCCATATTTCTACTCTGGAGGTCATGCAAGACCAAGCTACTGTGGCGGCTCACACACTCTTGTGATCACTGGTCACCTAGCAGCCAGGTCTGTGGTTCCTCCAGCTCTAGCCAGATTGCCCCGTCGGTGTCCACAAATCCCAAGCCAGGTAGACATGCAGGGTGCCAGCTTATCCTGCAGGTCACCCCTATGACCAAGTTGGCAACCATGAAAGACAGAAACCGGTTCCAGTTTGTCCTCCCGAGTCCTGGTTTGTCATCACAAATTGTAGTTTTTCCCCAAGGATCCCAGTGTGTCTTCTTGCATCCACAGATTCTGAGTTGGGAACTGGGGAACTGTTTCTGTGGCTACTCTGGCTCATGCACTGTCACTAGGTACAATCAAGTATAGGCTAAGGTTCCAGTCTCATCTGGAGGCTTATCTGGAGGAGCATCTGCTTCTAATCTCACTTCCGTGGTCATTGGCAGGATTTAGCTCATCACGGGTTGTGGGACTGAGGGCCTCACTTCATCACTGGCTATTGGCCAGAGGCTCCTTCAGTTATTTGCCACATGGGCCCTTCCATAGAGAAGCTCATATCATGGCAGCTGGTTTCTATCAGAGCAAGGAAATGAGAAGGCAAGGGGGTAAACAGGAGAGAAGCAGAGTCACTTTGTAACCTACTCTTAGAAGTGACATACCATGATTTTGATTATAATGTTTGTTAGAAGGAAGTCACTAGGCTCAGTCAACACTCAAAGGGGAAGATTATAAAAGGGCATGAATGCCATAAACAGGGATAACTGAAAGCCATCTTTGAAGTTGTCTACCATACCTTTTCAGATCAAAAGGCCTTCTGAGCATCTTAAGTATGTGCTGTGCACACCCTCTCTTTTAAAAAAAAAAAAACTTATAAGAATCATTTTCCCTATAGCATCTTCACAGGAAGATGTGAAGTATAGACTTTGTCTAATGGAGTGAATCATAGATTTATACATAGGAAGCTCACAAAGTTTTTAAAGAAAATATATCAGCTTGGAATGAAGAGACAGAGACAGACAAATTGAAAAAAGTCATTTCTACCACCAAACAGTTGCAGGCAGGAAACAGGTTAAGAAGTCTACCCAGCTGCAAATACCAGCCATATCTTATAGAAAAGGAAGGATGACTTGAAAGGCAGAACCAGGATTCTACACAATGAGGCCAAAAGCTATGGAGAACAACTGATGGGGAGTATGACTGAGCCCAAAGCAGAGAAAAGGTACTATGTGTCAGGCCAGATATCAGAATTTGATGGACTAGTGACTGCTTCGTGCCTCCTAACTTCTCCCTCTCTGAATGCAAGTATCCATTGTGGTTATTACCATTCAATGTTGGAAGTGTGCTAATAGATGACTTAGTTACTTAGTTCATAGGCTTCCAGAACTAAAAGAATATATCCACAGAATTACAACTGAGGATCCTTATCTACACTCAAATGGATTTAGATGGACAAAATCTTAGATCTTAAGCTTGAGCCTGATGCTGTAATAAAATAATATTTTTAGGGAGGCTCTTGGGAGGGAATGTGTTTATTTTGCATATGCAGTAATATTATTCATCTATGACCAGGAAGTGGATTGTGGCAGTTTTTAAAATTGCTTGTTTTATGAAGCTCTCTTCCTTAAGTCTATGTTCCCTTTCCTCAAATCTGGGTGGGCTTTAAATGTTTCCACCAATAGAATATGGTGGAAGTGATGTCATGTGATTCAAGGCTGGTTAGTAAAGGATTAAAAGCTTCTCCCTTGTTTCCTGGAATACTTGATTTTGGAATCCTAAGCTTCTATGGAAGGAGTCTGACTAGTTTAAGGAGGAATCCCAGCTGTGGAGAGGACATGTGTAGGCACTCTGGTCAGATGTCCTAGTCTTTGAGTGGTCTCAGCCTGGGCCCCAGAAAGTGGGTGACAAGGCTGTAGGTGATTCTAACCCCCAGCTACTGAGTCAGCCGGGGCTGTGAGTCTTTCCACATGATGCCCCAGATGTTGTGGTATAGAGACAAGTCATCTTCACCGTAAGTCTGAAATCCTGACCCACAGAATCTATGATAATGGTTGTTCTAAGCAACTGAGTTGCAGGGTAATTTGTTATATAGTCCTAGGAACTGGGATGAAGCCATGAAAAACCATAATAGCAAAATTGTGAAGGAAATGCATATTCGAAGCCAGTGTTTAGCTTTGAGGGCAATCAACAGTGAGTATGTTTATAATTATTTTAGAATCATGTGTGAATGAGATAATGGACGTAAATACTCCTAGCACAATGCCTATAGCAATAAGGAAGGGTTTATTATCATGCCAAAAGAAATATATGTATGTATTTATTTCCAAATGGTTATTGTCAATGACCTACAAATAATGATACTCTGGCCCAATGCTCCAAAGGTTTACATGTACATCTCCAAGTTACAGATGGGTAAAGATGGGGTTTGTTGTTCACACACATCTGGGCAGAGCTAGAATTCAAACCCAGGTCTCTTTAACTCCAAATCTCTCACTTTTTTTTTTACATTCCTCTCGCTCCAGACATTTTCATATTTAGAGAAAAGATTAAAGAAACTACGATTATGAAAAGTTGGCCCCACAGAGAAGAGGCTCAAGAATGAAAACTTAACTTAGCACTTGGAAAAATGAGAACAGGAATGATTTGATGATTAGGAATATGATGGGTTTCTATACTGGGGGATTAGGAATATGATGGGTTCTGTATTTTTGAAGAATATATTTACATATATAACCTTAGCTCATAAAAAATTAGAAGTTAGAAAAGTAGGTGAGCTCTTAATAAAGTGCTTCATTTTGGTGAGGATTAACTCTTCATCTTACATAGTAAAGTTTGACCCACCATCTTCACTTCATGATTTAAAAGAAAAAGATGAATACTGGATTTAATTGGAGTAACTGTACATACAGATACCAATGATACATAGGTTCAGGGCTAAATGGTTATTAGGTCCCCTTTAATTCTAATAGAGACAGTAACAGGAGCTCCCACCCATGCAGCATTATTTCACAGATGTCAGCAAAGGACTCTTTAGGTATCCTTCTTAATCTCTGAACCAGGTCTCTAAAGTAGGCACTACTCTACTATGTCTTCTTCTACGGATGAGAAAGCTAGTACTTTACTCAAAGAAGTGAACTCAGTTTCCCAAGGTCACCCAGCTAGGAAAGAGTGGAGTTGGGATTATATGATGGTTCAATCCCTCATTTCTTCATCTTTATAAAGTACTCTAAAGGAAACAAAATAAAATCACATGTAGAGATGACATACTGATATGGCCAATCACAGGCAAAATAAAACTGCAGTACTCTAAGTTGGTTTTTATTTGTATATACGTAAGTCTTTTTTGAATTACAACTATTGTTTTCCTTTGAGAATATCATTGCTATTATAACTGTATAGTTCTAATATCCATCCAATGCATAAATTTTCTACATTTATAGGTGGGTAATTTAAAAATATATACATGGAAAAACATACAATGCTTACAAGTCAAATGCAAATAAAAATCTTTAAAAATCTTAGAAATTCATTAAGCAGGTTATGTTGATCCTATCAAAAATGGTTTGTCTATGTACAATACATAATCTTTAAAAATACTACTCCAGGAAACAAAAATTCTTTGGTTCAGCAAAAAGATTCTCTAAATGTGGAAATTCAATTTGTTAAGGATGCACCCTCTTGGGTTGGGCCTCACTTAACTGGTTTGACTCTTCAGGAAACATATAGCTGACTCTTTCTGAATGCTGAAAATATGGGTGGAGAGTGGGTAGGGGTTGCTTTTCCCATAGAACATTAGCATGAGAAAATATAACCAGAAGCTTGAATAATGCAGGAACTTAGATGTTATTTTTACTCTGCCAGATCAAAAAGATACAGAAAAAGTCTGCTTCCCATCCATTTGGTGGGATCGTGGTTGATGCATGACAACATTCTCTAGTAAAGTTCTTCGGCGCTGGTATCCAGTGCCATTGAAACTAGTCTATTCATCATCTGGAAGATTGTGAGGCGGAGACAGGAGGGCACATTCTGGATGTCCCTTTTACTTAAGTCCCATCACTTCCTCAGCGGCTTGTCTACCTTACAAATCTAAAATTATAAACACATCCGTGACTCAAATCTCTTTAAAAAGAGTTATTGATGCAATAGTGATTACAGGGCATCAACATGAGCCAATGAGATTTTCATTAAAAATTAACTGTGGTTATTCTATACTCTTGATTTATTAATGGCAACAAACACAAAACTGGCCAAAATATCTCAGTTGCAGAGAGTCAGCAACCTTACCTATTAGAAATTATTCTCTTCTATATTTAATCGGAAGGAAACGCCTTCACAATTTTGTGCCTGTGTGTTTTCTACTTTGTGAAAATATTTAGTATATAAGATAAAACCCTACCAGAGGCCCATCACTTGACCACACATTATAACTACCTTTAACAAGGCTTTTGAAAAGTCTCTGAGGTATCACAGCTCGTCACAGGAGAACAAAAATATTTTTTGCTTTATTTTTTCAAAGTTCCCCAATGGAATATAATTACTGGCTGGGTGAATTAACTCATTTATGCTAGGAAGTGGTACCACTGACTAATACTTAAACTTGCCTTTCCCCAGACTAGTATCAGATGCATGTTAATATGTTTCTAGGTTGAATCAGGTGAAAATCAAGAGCTTCTATCCACTACGAAGATTTCTGCAAACCACGGGTTTGCGATGCCATAATGCTTACATGGAATTGTCGAGAGTAGGGGAAGTCTTCCAGAGTTCACCCATGTTCTTCCTTCCATTTGCATGACTTAGTTGCTCAAAGGCAAGACACTTTTTAAAACTTATTAGGACTCAAAGGAGACACGTATGATTGGGATGGAGCAATAGATTGCAGAGAAAATTATGCCCCCTCAACAAAAATTATTCTGACTATGGAGAGGGGAAGAGAATTGCTTCTAACATTTGAGAAGAGCAAAGAATAGAATACATGAATAATTCAGAGCATCTAAATGAGACATTATAACTCAGAACCACCTTCATATTCGCATTGTCCACCCAGCTCATGGGCAGGGAGTTCTCTTCTTTAATGGTCTCCCCAAAGACATTATAATACTCCAAAGAGAGAAATGATCACTCTTGGAGTATTGGTCCTTATAGTCCTCTTCCAGATGTAGAGGCAATAATCATCTTTTCTTCTGTCAAAAGTCTTTATCCCAGCCTGACAGCTCATCTGGAGGCACTCCTTTTTCAGGGGGATACTTGTCGAAGTAGCTGTGGTCTGTGGGTCCACTGAGCTAATAGAGGAGGAATTAAACCAAAGGTGAGGATAATGCTGACTAAGCATGTTATATACGGGTAATGCTTTTTATATCTGAACACTGCTTTTATACTGCAACCACTGGTAAGTTACATGTAAGGGGACAAGATGACCAACTATCATTTTTGAGTCACACTCTCAGCCTCTGAGATCTCCCCTTTAGTCCAAATGGATCCAGTCACTGCATTACATTCAACAGAAGCTACCTGGCTTGAAGAAGTATGTCCAAAAGAAAAGGTGACAGAAATGGTATCTATTTTTTTTTTCAGATTGAAAAACATTTTAAAAGTAAATATTTTTTTAAAAAAATCAAAATTTGGGGCACCAGGGTGGTTCAGTCGGTTAAGCATCTGCCTTCAGCTCAGGTCATGACCCCTGGGTCCTGCGATGGAGCCATGCATCAGGCTCCCTGCTCAGCGGGGAGTCTGCTTCTCCCTCTCCTTGCTCCTGTGCGCTTGCTCTCTCTCTCTCTCTCAAATAAATAAATAAAATCTTTGATAAAAGTCAAAATTTGCCACTTTTAAATCCTTTTTCTACTTTATAAAAATTTCTCACCAACCTTGAATTTCTATATGGTTAATTGACCCGTATAAAGTTTCCAGAATGCCAAACAAAGGGCCAGTTCAAAATATTATTGTCCCTGTTGAAAGAGTGAAATGATTCTGGAATTAAACTATTTTACAAAGCAGGTGGTTTTCAATTCTTTGCTTTCAAACAAATTTTAAAAGTACCTGATTGAATTCTCAGCTGATAGATCAGTAAAAATACTACTTATGATAAATCATAATGTGTTTTCTGGGAAGAGTGGGGAGGTCACTCAGAAGGCATTCAAAGTGACATTGCTATTATAAAACCCTCCACTCCCAGTTACTTATTTATGTGAACACAATTCTCAGCACTTAAGAGCCATATAATTTTAAAAATGAATAGAACTGATGTGAAGCCTGATCCCATTTTTTTTTAATAAGTAACATTTCTCCCCCGGTACATAAGTAATTTCTTCTCAAGAAATATTTGTTAAATACTTGCTTTAAAAGTTTGCAACATATTTCTGTTGTTTGATACTCCATGTTATAAAAATGTAATTACAACTGAATCCAGAAGAAATATGTGTGTTGTCACAGAAATTCCTGTTTGTCACAGGAATTTTAAAATTTAGAAAACTATAGTTGAAAGCCATTTAAAGAATAATCAAATACTAGCAGGCATAAAAATATTTTTACATAAGATGAAACTTTTTAGGGAAAATGGGATGGAAATATAAAAATATAAATTCAGAGAGGAAAAGGAATTATGTAATATTGCTGTCTATGGATTTTAAATGACTAATGCGCATCCAATCTCACCGGTATTTAGATTACATTACATATATTTAAAGGAGCAATGTTTTACTTTAAAATGTCAATATTTACAACATACTGGAAATCACATCCTCCACAATTTAAACATACGATGAAAAAATTGAGATGTCAATCTAAAAATGGTTTTAAAATTCCTTTAAGGAGAACACAGCATAGAGTCTAGAGGGTGTTGACTGAGGTCATTCCTGAGTCATTCTCCGCGCCCCCACCATTCCCCACCCTAAGTTAGCAGATGTTCTGTTTAATCCCGAGCTATGCTGTCCAACCAGCCACAGGTGGTGACTGAGCACCCCAAAGGTGGCTAGTCCAATTTGAGACTGCTGTAAAATCCATTTGGGATTTCAAAAACAGTATGGAAAAATAAATGTAACATCTCATTAATATTTTATGTTGATTGCATATCAAAATGACAACTTTTTGATATATTGTAATAATTAAAATTAATTTCACCTGTTTCATTTTACCTGTGGCTAACTAGAAAATTTTAAATCATAGTATTATTCATATTTTACTTCTAGAGCCCTCTGTTAGCCTGACCAACATTGACTACCTGGGGACTTAGATTTATAAGTAATTGGTTCCTGAGAACTGAGCTGATCTCCATCAAACAAGAAATACTATTTAGTCCCTATAATCACAATTGCTATGACATTTTCACTTAATTTTTAAAAAGTATTAAAAAAATCTAAAATGTGGTATACACCCCTATTCTGTTTATGAAAACAAAAACTAGAAAAAAATTAAGAAAGTAATATAGCAGATACTATACCTCTCTCTGTAAAGGTGATGGAAGGTTCCGTGCTTTCAGTCCCTCCCAATTAAAACCATTTAACCACCTGAGAAGTAGAAACAGTACAGAAGAATATTACTTGCCCGATAAACTATCAGCCGTTGAGTTATCTGTCAGTCCGTTTTGTTGCCCTCTCCCTGCCTGCTACAGTGCAGCTGCAAGTGTGGGGGGTGGGGGAATGCATAACCATGCTGGTTGTCTGGTCTCACGTTAAATCCATGCCCACTAACCTCAAGGGGGTAGTTCATGCTGCCCAGCAATTGGTCTAGATTTCCCTGTCGTACCACTCACTGTCACGCTCCCTCAGACTCATAATTCATACTTTGTCCTCTCTCCTCAAACTTCCAGAAACTACCCCCATCCTCACTCCCCGAATGATGACCTAACTTACTGTTTCACTGAGAAAACTGAGCTGTCACAATCTTCCACCAGTCTATTTGCCTGCCTGTTCACATCTGTGGATCCCTTTTCTCGTGCACCATGAGTTCACTGCCTTTGCTTCTAGGGAAGGTCAGCTCAGCTCCTGCACTGTGTACTTGATCCTGTGCACTCCTCTATTCAAAGGCATGCTCCTGTCATTCTCCTCTCTATTGAATCTTCAATGCCCACCTGCTAGATCATCCCCATCAGTTTGGAGACATTTTATTTCTTCCAACCACAAAACACCCTCCCTTGACCTGAGCTCCCATCCAGCTTTCACTTTGTTTCTCTCCTCCCATAGGAGGAAAACTCCTTGGAAGTTATCCAGTCACTCTACTTACCCATTTTCTCCTGACCACACTACAATCAGCACCCACCCCCTCCACTCCTGTGAATCTCCTCAATTCTCAGTTTTTGTATTACTTCACCTAGGAGAATTTACCACCATTCATTACTCACACTTCCTGAAATACTTTTTTCACTGGCTCCCAGGACATGTTATCCTACTTTCTTGGGTGCTTTCCCTTGTTTTCCACAGCTTTCCATAGGACGCTGGTGTGCTCCAGGGAATCTGAAAACTGGCTAAAGGCGAGACCATGCAGGTCTTGTAGAACACAGGATTTTATGCTTAATGGGAAGCCATTAGAAAGTTCTAAGGAAATGATGGAATCTAAGCACCCTTCCAAAAGATAATTCTGGCTGCTATGTGGAGCATGACCACAGGGGGCTATAAGGAGGCAGGGTGGTGGTAGAGGTGTGAGGCTGAGGGCTGGGGAATTTGGGTGGCTGTCACACTCCTGTCTGTCAGCCACGCCAAAAATGATGCTCTTCCATCTTTTCTAATCTCTTCTCACCGCGGGAGTTGGTTTTCATTCAGTCCTTGACTGGATCCCCCATTCCAAGTCTAAGCTTAGCAAGAGTAAAAGTACTGTAAACAGAGGGAAGGCTCTAGTACATTCCATTTCAGGTGCCATTCTTAACCCAAGGGGCCATTTTAGTATAAGCTGCTGAGACACTAATCAAAGAGTGAAAGTCAGACAGCAACCCTAGCTGTAAGGCTTCCCCTGTCCTTGCTACAAAACCACAGAGTCCTCTCCTTGATCCACCCATCAGCTTCTTGGCATAGACTGAGCTTCATTTTTAGGGATTTCTAGGTGCACAGTCATGTGGATTCTTTTCTTTTGCCACCAAATACTGCCACAATTTCTTTTAACATATTTTACAGTGCTCTCTACCCAGAAGCTACTCCATAAATATTAATAAAAATCATTACTGTTACCCTACTGAATCAAAGAGCCTATACATTTCTTGCTGAGTACTTGCTACAATTTGACTTATGGCAATATTTACTTAACATGAGTGGTCATTCACTTAACACTTGGCCTTTTGACACTAACCACATTTTAAGTAACACAAGTGCCAGCATGCATTCATGTGTAAAAAATATTCACCAAAGAAATATTAGTAGCAATGGCACATAAACTGCTTCTTCATTTTTAGAAGACTCGTAGAAGCTATTCTGGAGAGTAATTTTAGCAGCTAGAAATATTACAGGTAACATTAAGGCACTTGAAACAAATTATTCCTCTATCTAGCAGGAAAGATTTAATTGCACCCTACAAATATATTATCCCTCTTTTCAGATAGGTGTTGGGAAACATGATCGATGCCTAGTTCATACGTTAGCTCAGAAATAGGGGAGGGAGGAGTTCTGATCATGTTTAGTTAAGATGATTTAACTCAGAATGGACAAACATAACAATACGCCATGTTAAATTGCATTGTTTTTAAATACAAAGTTAAAATGAATGGTTCATTTTATTTTAGAGAAGAGTGAGAAAATCTGATGGCAAATTTCAGAAAGATTTTCTTTTTAATTCCAAGAGTATACAGAGTAGAGGAACTATAGCCTTGAAGACTTATGGAAGGTTTTAGAGCATTCCTACTTAAAGGCAGGTTCTTAACCACCCCCCCACCCCGCCCAGCTTTATATTTTAAGAAACACTAGGAAAATCAGATGAAATAATGTCTTTGAGCTCTCTGGGCTCACTGAAACGCACTGTGTAAATTTGGTCCATCTTATTACTGAACTCTACCCCATGCACTGCACTCCAAATCTACCCTTACGTGGCCAAGAACATCCCGCCTGTTAAGAAGAGTGGGCAAATTAATCCCTACAGGGAAGGAAATTCAAAATTCTTCACTACCATGCTGAGGTGAGAAAATCCTTTAGCTTCAGTTTGCATGCGCACCCAATCACAATTTGACAGCTACATTTAAATGAGCCTCAGGTAAATAAGAAAGAAAAGATAAAACCAGAGCCTGTTAACCCAACCATCCGGGAGCAAAACGTGAAGACGCTTCCTTAATGAGCAAAAGGAGGAAAATACATTGGAGGGATGACTTTAATTGATGGGACACTTGTTTGCTCAATATGAATAGTGTGTTTATGTGTCATTTTATAATGAGAAAAGAAATTGTAATAACTGCATGGAGAAAGAAAGATAAATTGGAATCTAAGGCAAATAATGAGCTTTACACTGAAGGCAACCCAAAGGATGACAAAGAATAATAAAAATACTATAGGCATTTTCATGTCTATAAAATGCACAGCTGAGGTTGTCTCTTTCATCCTCCCTCCCTCCCTCCTAACACACCCTTAAGGCAAAGCCCAATATGAATTTACAATGTTGAATACATGGCTTTATTTCAAGTGAGTTCATGAATAGATAGAACAGGGCTGGCAGCCTGGGGATTTTTTTTTTTTTTTTTTTGAAGCTGCACCACTACTGTTAAGCAAAATGAATAGTGTTTCTATTCAGAAGCTTTTCTCCCTTTATTTCCACACTGTGTTCTGTGCCTCTAATTCTTCAGGAAAAAATACCCAGATAGGAATGAAATACTGAAAGGTGTTTTCATTTCTGAACATAAACACTTCAGTGTGTTCACAGGTTGTCAATGATGAAATTCTCCAATTTAGTTTTTCTGTTATCAATAGTACTATCAGTTGGTGATATTTTTTGTATATTGTGAGCAAAATTAAAATATTTTGAGGATTGCAGGATTTAGCTAGGCATCAGTTGTTTTAAAAATCTGAAAGGCTTGAACTCTACATATATAAATCAAATCAAAGAGGATGATTCATGGAAGTTATCACTGGTTCTGAAGGCCAGCTTCAGAAATCCACAGAAGTGCAAAGATGCATGTTAGATTATTGTATAAGGCTGAAACAGTGTTTGAGGTTTTGTGGAAATCAATGTACTTTATCCCAAATGTAAAATACAATACTAGGCTCAAAATTTGGAGAGCTAGTCAAAGGAAAATTGTATTTAAAATAAATATATATTATTAACTAAAACTGAAATATAATACTATTTAACAGTTGATTTCTCTTTAATGTTGACAACAGTGACTATATTGTACTTTAATCACAAATCAAAGGTCAAAATTAGAACTTAATTTCTCTATAGAATCCAAGTTGATATTTTTAAAAAATAATAAGGGGCTCCTGGGTGGCTCAGTGGGTTAAGCATCCAACCCTTGATCTCAGCTCAGGTCTTGATCTTGGAGTCATGAGTTTAAGCCCTGCACTGAGCTCCACACCCAGTGTGGAACCTACTTAAAAAATAAACATAAAAATAAAAATAGCAGTGTATAAAAAGCTAAGTTGCTATAACTTAAAGATGTGATTTTGTCACTTGTTTTAGAATTTCATCCATTCTTGAGGTGAACTTTCAGCATTAGAGAAATCACCTTGAGACTGATTATTTTAACTGCACCTAATAAAACACAAATTAAAAATAAAACACCAAAAAGGAAAAATTGAGCATCTGTAAAGGGGCTCTTGTGACCTACAACAAAAGCTTCAAGATTACATTTTTCTATAAATTTCTATTATTTTTCTGGGCCAACCAATAGCTATGTACCTGTGTTTCTTAATGTCATTGATTCCATTCTTCAGATTTCCAAGTCTTTCTGTTGGATTTTGCCTAAAATAAAAATTTATTAAAAGGCAATTTAGAATAATTATGCTTTGGTGAATTTTAAATTAAAATTTAACATTTTTTCTTTATATATGTATTCATTCATTTATTCAACAATATTCATAGGCGAAGCAGCTGAGTACAGGGAAATGAAAAACACATGCCCCTCTCCAGTATACACACACACACACACCGGTGCTTTAAATGAGCTATGAATAAGGATGTTATCTTACCAACTTTGCTGAGAAAAAACAGGGAAATCTTTAGAGAATCATTTACATCTGAGCTGGAATCTTAGAAACATGCAGAGATTTCTGTTGGCAACCCACAACTAGGTTTCATGTTCTAAATTTACTAAATGCTAATGCTTTAAAAAACAGTTCAAATGTGCAAAAAAAAAAAAAGAAAAGAAAAGAAAACAGTGACAAAGTAAAGTTTAAACACAAACTCCAGAAGTCTTCTGTTCTCCAATATATTATTTTTAAGGGTAAATAGAAATTAGGAACAATTTAAAATAAGGCCAGAGAGGTACTGTTTTTTAAAATGAAGACTGACAGAGGGCAAGGAGTGACACTTTGTTACCACCACTGGTTTTATCTCAAAATAACAAGGTTGTTAATTAATTACTCTCTTATTAAACTAATGTTCTTTTGCCCTAATACAGATAAAGATGATTCCCAAAGATAAGCTGATCGATAACTATAGATCTCTTTTAAACTGTAAGTAGGTACTGTGATTCTGTAAAATGAAGTAAACTCAAACTCCTAGTGAAGAAATGATTTTCTTTAAATATAGTTACATAGAAAAGTACAAAAAGTAAATGCATACCTAATTTTAAATTGTGTGGACACAGAAATGAGAAGACTTCACACATTCCCCAAGAAGTAGGGGTTTTTAATTTTCATTCTCACCTGCAAAGCCTCCGAATCAAATCCTCAGGTCGTCTTGTGATCTTTCTGGGAAAATCCATTTTTTCAATTCCTTTGAGAATCAAATTGTAGGTCATCATTTGGTCAATCCCAGAAAAGGGAGGGCTGGAGAAAAGCCAAAATAGGACACTAGGACCAATGTGTCAGACACATTTACAACTGACTTTCTTACGTTTTCTTCCCTCCCTCCCTCCTTTCTCATTAGTCATTGTATTAAAAAATCTGGATATATGCTAGAAAATAATTTCATTGATTTCATATCACTTAACAAATGACACACATACAAATACAGGTGATTTGTCAGTTGGTGATAATCACTAAAAAGAAAAATCAAGGAGGGGACAGAGTGACAGAGAGAGGTGTGATCTTCTTAAACCTGGTAGATGGGAAAAGCCTCTTTCATAAGTTGACAATTGAGCAGTGGTATCAATGAAGAGAAGGTGGGAATGAGCCTCACTATTATCTGTAAGCAAAAGATTCAGAGACAGCAGGTACAAAGGCCATAAGTCAGGAGTGGCATGGGTTGCTCTGGAAACAATGAGGAGGGGTGGGTTGCTGGGGGAATGAGTAAGGAAGCAGAAGAGGGGTGGAAGTGATGAGGGCCATATCATGTGAAGCTAGTGGATGATGCTAACGGCCTAGGAATGTAGTCTGAGTCAGATGGCGGAGTTTACAGCAGAGTAAACTTTTTAAGAAAAAGTGTGTCAAAAATGACCTTTGACAGTGCTAGCAGTGGGGGAAGGAAGGCCTGGTGGCCTGAACTATGATGGTAGAAGTGAAGGTGGTGAGATGTGGTTGGATTCTGGATCTATTTAGATGGTAAAGCCAATAGGATTTGCCAATGTTGTGAATGTGGTGGGTAGGAGAAAGAAAGGATTCAAGAATGATGCCGAAGTGTTTTGACTTATGGAATGGAGCTATTGCTTACTAAGAGAAGAAAGGCTGGAGTGGGGGCCGAAAGTGGGGGTCCAGAGGTCCAAGAGCATGTTATGAAATGTCCAAATGGAGTTAGGTTTTAAATGTCCAAATAGAGATGCTATGCAGGGCAGCTGAATTTGTGAGCCTGGCATTCAGGAAAGAGAGCTGGAGGTGTGATTGTGGGATGTCATCAGACAGGATTTCTGGCCATGGACTTGATAGCAGCCAAGGAGTGAGTAGATAGAAAAGAGATCAAGGACTAAAGTGGCCCAATGTGGAGAGGTCAGGAGGATACGAAGGATTCAACAATGAAGACGGAGATGGAGCCATCAGTATGGGAAAATAAATGAGAGAAAGGGAGGACCTAAAGGCATGTGAAGAGAGTACTTCAAGGGAAGCATTGCTAAGGTGAGTAAGAAAGCATTGGGAATTGACCACTGAATTTGGATAACGTTTTAACTCACATGCTTTGCTATTAAAAATACTTTATTCTATTGTGTTATTTAATTTGAAGATGACTTTCATGAACTACTCTGCTATATCTTGGCCATGCTTGAGACCTTTTGCTAGTGAGTTCCCACTCTCAGGAATAAACATGAAATAAGGCTGGTGCAACAATCTATGTCTTGCTTGTAAAGAAAATAAGATATGAAAAAATAAAAAAAGAAAATGAGGTATGAAACAAAAAGCATTGCTCTATTTTCAATACTTTTGTATTTACAGTTATGTTGTGTTTGTTGTGTTGTGCTGTGTTTTAGTTGTTTTTCTCATTTTCATTTACCTCCTGACTCTCTAGAGTTCAGGGCATTTAAAATTAACTTTTCTCATGCCCTACCCTGAAAACCTTTATAAGAACAATTTCTTAAGTTCTTGACAGTTCAAAGCCACTTTAACAACTCCAAGTTATTGGGGATCTCCTTTCCTTATTCCCTCACTTTATTTCCTTATTCCTTGTAGAAACTTATTCCAGCTGATAAAGACTGAGTTCTATATTCCCTAGCTACCACATGATCCATAATGTATTTCTTAGAAATGCAGCTGACAAATTTTGCAGGGATGAGGAACACATTCTTGAAACAGAACTCCTTGTGTCCCAAGACAGTAAACATCTTTCTCTCTGAAGGACGGTCTGGAGAATTTTCTATTCTATCCATCAAAATCTTAAGCAATGACTATTTGAAAATGAATACAGATAATATAAAATAATCTTTCATATCTGTTTGCTCAATGCACGTGGACAAAGAAGTCGAATATATAGCCACAGGTAATCAAACGTGAGAAATTTGCAGTATAAAAGTTCCAGGTCTTACGAAACTCTTTTTAAGTATGTGTTGAGACTTGAATCCCCATCAAAGGGCTCATTCCAGCATTTCATATGCCATTCCATAAGCAAATCTGCTCTGAAAATAAGACTAAGAATATTTGCTTATAAAGGTTTATAAGGATGATCAAAACAGTTGATGAGAAACAGAGGGAGAAAACTGAACTATATCCTGTGGGGATGTCCATGCATTACATTAAAAATGCATATGTATAAGGCATAGGTGTGTAATGGAAAGTGTGTCATATTTAGGGTTAGAAGATCTGGGATCAAATCCCTGACCTTAAGCAGGTAGCAGGTAGCTCTCTGTTCTGGCTGTCTAATCCATAACATTTAAGTCATAAAATAAAAAAATTCCTTCTTTAACTCCCACACAAATTCATAAAAACTAAACTAGAGAATACACATGTAAGAGCTTTGTAAACTGTAAAGTGCTTTACAATGTGAGGTAATAGTACATAGAGCCTATGTATGTATGTGTATATGCATGTGTGGGTGTAAATGCATTGTGCACATATGTGTATGCATGCACGCATGATGAATATTTGGGATCCTGGATTCATTAATATAGCCCTTTAATCCCTCCAGGGGCGACAATTCAATTTGAACTGCTAAACCTCCTGCTGTGTCTGGTCTCTGTTCATTAGCACCTCTACAAGACGGTTGACAAGGAGATTAAAATTTAAATCCAGCAATGTTCCTTTCTCTTAGGTTTTCTGGTTAATGATTTATTGGGAAGATGGAAGAATGCAGCTAAATTTAGTTTCACTGTTTAATGGATTTAATTGGAACAGGATTACAATTTTCTCCATTACAAAAAATATATATGAGAGGAAATAATAATAGCCCACAGCCTCAATTCTTCTCCTTATTCTTACAATGGAATTACCAAAACCTTCACACAGTTAACATGTTATCTATAATAACAGGCCTTGCCATTTTAGGTAAACCAAAGCAATTCTGTACTTCTTTCCTGTACCTTCTGGAATGTTTTCTCCATGTTACAAACCAGCAAGCATGCTATATGTAAAATATACAAAGGGGAAAAGTCATCACACTTAATTGAAAACATTTCTAAAAATTAAACTCTTAAATTATATATTTTTTATCATTAGTAAATTATTTTCATACTTCTGTGAACTTGAAGGTACTTACTTGCCGGTTAGGAGCTCATACACCAGAATTCCCAGAGACCAAAAATCCACACTGAAGTCATGTCCTTTGTTGAGAATGACTTCAGGAGCTACATACTCTGGAGTCCCGCAGAATGTCCATGTTTTCTGTCCAGATCCTATTTTCTTAGCAAATCCAAAGTCAACCTGGAAAACAATGTCAAAGACATTTTCAGAGACCATAAAACTCATGTTCTTCTTTACGTCTCCCTCTAACTTCTCCTATCTTCTCTCTATACCTCCACCCTTCCTTTTTCACACACACACACACACACACACACACGCACACACACACACACACACACCTGACCCTCTCATTTATTCTTTTGCAGGACCAGGTATAAATCTAGTTACAATGGAGAAAGTTCCATGCACACACCTCTATGCCCATGACACCTAGAAGATGAGAGGAATGGCTAGCGTAGACCATTACAACAAATGTAAAGCTCAGAGCAAGCAGACAAATAATTTTCTAATCAATGGTGGCATTCATTAGGAAGAGGAGAGAAAGGGGGAGTGATCGACCCTGGTGCACTTTAAGCTCCATCATAAAAAGAAAAGTAATAGCCAAAATTGAGAGTTTGGGAAAGGGACCATTGTTGAGAAAAAGAGAGTCTTAAAATTCTGATCCATCTTTAAAAACCATGATGCACAATCTCTGCATCCTTTACATTCTGACATTCCATAGAAAAAGCCAGGATCACCTCTTCTCAACTTTGGCCAGACTATGGACACTTTGAATCCTTCTCCCGCAAGTCAGCTGTGAATAGCACCTGAATGACCTTATTTGTCCTGAAAAGACACAGTCAGCACCACCATCAGCCAGGCTCTGTGCTAGGCTTACAGATACAGAGCTGCCTAGGAGAAACTCAGAGTGTTGGGAATACTTACACATATGCAATTAATATTATTTCATGTGATACATGATAGAGTAGAAGATTATGCATAGGGCCAAAAAACATATACTTCTGGAACATTAGGGAAAAGACCACTGGGGAAGATGTCATTAGGAGGTTGATATCTGAGTTTGGCCCTGAACGAGGATCAGGAACTCTCCTCGGGGAATAAGCTGGTGCTACCCTCATCTGTCTTTTCAGAATAGGCCCCTCCACTTCTCTGAGACTCTATTCAATGAACCAACTCTGTGCACAGAATAGAGACTGGCGAGAAGGCTGGAGCAACAGGAAGACTCACTCACTGAATGGGGGCAGTGTACATGACTGACATCCTGCCCTGCAAAACAACCAGTTGGTTTCTGTCCACAGGCGTTATTTAGCATGTACTTTTCATCTCCAATACATACAGGTATTATTTAAATAAAACCGCCCTTCACCTCCCTGAAGTAAACAAACACACAAATTATACCTGAGCCTCAAGGTTCACATTTTAAGAGTTTCATTATGCACATGGGCTATCACAATAACATGGCAATGATATTGACTAAAAGAATAAATAAATAAGGTTAACATATCAAAATAGGCCCTCACCTGAAAGAGTATGTCCATGAACTATAAAATGCAGCCCTCATTTATTTATTCGAATACTAATATTTAAAGTCTTTGTTTTATCTTAAGTAAATCTCTTAGAAATTTAGCTTTCTGCTAATGCTTTTTAGTACTTATCATGCAACAGCAAGGATTCCCTTATTAGAAAAAGGGAATTTAAGCAGCCTAATTTGAAGTGGGATTTTACTGTTTTCTTTTCTCTATACAAAATGACTCATAAAGATTTTATCTAAGGGATGGCTGGGGATACTATGAAATTAAAATTTGTAACCACCTGAGATTAGCTTATATACTTATTCCTCAGAGGAAGAACCAATATGAAAATCCTAGCTAATTTTATAAAGACTGAAATTTAAGAGACAAGAAAGCAATGTTTATAATTGCATTTGTGTGTATGCACATATGGAAATATTATATTTTGTTGTTTTATAATAGCCTTTCAACACATTTCAACACATTTTTTTTCATTGCATTTAAGTTTTCCTTTTAAAACTGATTGGGTGTTCATTAGATGCTTAGGAGAGTTTTTCTAGCTCTGAAAATGGTGAATTTTAATTTGAATAGCTGGTTTTGCTTTTGTAGTACTTAAATATTGACCCACAGAGATGGCTATAATTATACTAAGATTTTAAGATTTATGAGAACTTAGCACTTTTCTTTGATCTTACCAACTTTAGTCTAATCCATTTGGTCAGAGGAAATTGACACTCAGACCTATCCAAAGTCACATGCCTAATCAAGAAAGCCCCAGATCTTCTGGTGTCAAGTTCTGTGTATTTTCTATAACCATTCACATCACCTCTGCCTTATACCACTGTGGATTCCACCACAAAGCTTCAGCCTTTTGGGGGTTTTTTTTTTGTTGTTGTTGTTTTAATTTTGTTTATTTATTTGACAGAGAGACACACAGTGAGAGAGGGAACACAAGCAGGGGGAGTGGGAGAGGGAGAAGCACACTCCCTGCTGAGCAGGGAACCCGATGCGGGGCTCAATCCCAGGACTCTGGGATCATGACCTGAGCCGAAGGCATGCGCTTAACGACTGAGCCACCCAGGTGCCCCAAGCTTCAGCCTTTTTAACACTATCTCTTCTAGGTCACAGAAATGTAAGTTCCTTCCTTCACTCACTGAATAGCTATTGAATACCAGTATGTATCAAGCACCAGTCCTCTCAGAGATAGCATTCAAGAGAAAGAGGAGAACTAGCATAAAAATAGAAGATCATATATAATAATGCCAGAGAGTGACATATGCTTGCAGAAACACATGGCAGAGTGGGGTACGGCAATCAATAGGAATTTTATTTTCAATAGGGTGACCAGGAAAGGGCTCTCTGAGGAGGTAGCATTGGAGCAGATTTCAGCAGGAATCTGACTGAAATAAGAAAAAGGGCTCCATAAAAATCTGCGCAAGAGTGATTCTGACAGAGAAGGAGAAGCGTGAAGGCCCTAGCCTTTGGGAACATGCGTGGTAAGTTCAAGGCTCGGCAAGAAGGCCAGTGTGGCTGGGCCACCGTGTGTGAGGGGAAGAGAGACAGGAAGCGAAGGCAGATTAGGTACTGGTCTGGTAAACCCCAGAAAGAACTTTTTTTTTTTTTTTTGCCTAAGAGGCCACTGGAGGATTAAGAGAAGGTTATACATGTCCTGAATAATGTTTTAAAGGGTCGTTCTAGAAGGCAAGAAAATCTTTCCACACTTTTTTTTTTTTAAAAATTCTACTCACAAAACTGAGCTTTCAGGAAGAATATCCAGAGAAGTTACACACACAGGTTTTCTCTTGTCTCTATTAAATTTCCATTATGAAAGGCAGCTTACATGATGTTGAGAGTTTAAAAACATCAAGTCTCCAAAGATTTTAATGAACTAGAAGGTTTTTAAGATGCTTCTAAATCTGCAGTGGTGATTGCATCATTCAGAAATAGAAAAATTAGCATTGTGGCTTGCTGGAGCCTGTGTGTCCAGTTAGTATTAGCTTTTTCCCAGAAGTTTCTCTCTGGGTCAATAAATTTGTCAGCTATTGGTTCTCTTGGTCACATAAAAAAATGGATACAAAATGACCAGTCTAATTAAGCCAAGTGAGTCATGGGGACATAACATTCCAAAAAAATATTTATGTGGAATTTTCAGAGCACCTACTTTGCCCAAGTCTAGACAAGGGTACAGTGGAATCTGTTTATCCTGTCTGCAACAACCAAAGATGATTTCATGTCCTTGCGATACTAACGTCCATCCACTAAAACGGGCAACAGTGGATGGCTTCCACTGGATGGGAGTGAGGGAGGCTAAGGTATGCATCTTTCATGGCAACAACCCATTCTTTATTTACCCAAATACTTAGTGCATTTACTCGAAAGTGGGCAAGTTGAAGGGGAGCTCTGCATGCAAGAGCACAAACTGAAAAAGCTTTTTGGATGCTCATCTCCTATGCCACCACCTCTCTGAAGCCTTCCTTGGATTTATAGAACCAATTCCTTTCTCCTCTGAGGTGTTTAACACTGTTTATATTCCACAGTTACGTCCCTTGGGGCAGCATCCTCTAGTTGTGTGTGATTAAATCTAGCTCCTTGAGGAGAAGCGTTATATCCTATTCATTTTGTAACCCCTACAGCATTTGCAACACAGCAGATGTTCAACACCTGTTTGGTGAAAAAAATTCTGAATGAAGAGATAACTGTTAACATCAGTTTCGATAAGATATGTAAATGCACATGTATATGTATGATCTTCACAACAGCTTGGGGAGCAAGCAACTGTTATCCCGATGTTAAAGAGGAGAAAATTAAAGTCTAGGAAGGTCGTGGATTCGGGAGGTGAGACTTGAACCAGGTTCCAAAGGGAACCTTCCCACTATATATAAATCGATGAGGAAGTAGAAGATTTTTAAGAGAAAAGAAGCAACATATATTCAGCACATTGGTGGGAAAAGCTAAGCTAGTAAGTACAGCTAATAATGGTCTAGCAGAAAGAATATAGTGGGAGCTGATAATTACTTTTATTTGTCAAGTTAGAAAAAAACCTGAAACATATACTAATGTGACCCATATGCAGGTTATAAAGCATGAGCATAAAAGCATGCCCCAAGGCTACCGCCGGGTTAATGGAGCAGAGCCAATGCAGAGCCCTGTGTGCTCCCTCCCTGGCGTCCTACTGCACACTGCCAAGAGTCACCACTCCCCTGACTTTGGTGTTTGTTGGGTACTCTCATTCCTTTCTAATTTTGCCACATATTTCTGAAACTTAAGTAAAATAAGTTCTCATTTTTAAAAACTTCAGATAAATCTTACATCTATTCTTGGGCAAACTGCCTATTTTCGTTTAAAATTATCTTTGTGAATTTAATTGATATCGGGGTACATTTATTTTCACTGCTGTTTCATACACCACTGAATTAACATGAAATGACTTTTTCTGTCCATTATGCTGTTGATGGGCATTTGCCTAATATCTAATTGTATGCTATCACAAAAATGCTTCTATTAATATCATTTTCCATATTACCTAGCAGAGGTTTATGTAAGATCGTAGAATTACAAGATCAAAGATGCAGTGTCTTCAATTTTACTACACATTGTCAAATTACTTTCATTAGGGATCAGACTGCATTACCCACCTCCTTCCCCAGCAGTAATGCACAGAGTTCCGGT